TTGGAGCCAGTGCTGCTGCTCTGGTGCCCTCCAATGCAAATTGACCGGAGTCATTGGATTCTGTTCCCTGCCTCTCTACCTCCTTCAGCACCTAAATCCCATAGCGATTGGTGTACAATAATAATGTATATGGAGAATATGACCATAGCTCCATCTTCAGGTTCTCTGGTTCTTATGGAGTTTGCTGGGCTAATCTCTGCTTCTGCATCCCTACCACAGCATGTTGTTATTAAACAGAAACCAGCCAATGACCTCAACTGTTGATGAAACTCGTGTCCTGTGTAACTGACCCAGCTTTTGTTTTCCACAGGGTATTTCCAGCAGAAAGTAACTGAATATCAAGAACAAAAAAAGAAACAAAGGACAAATTCCTGAAGTACTGTTCCGAAAGAGGGGAGCCCGGCTGGGCTTGGGCAGATATCTTCCTGCAGCAATATTCTGTCCAGACTGGGTCAGCATCTCGCTCAAAGCCAGAGCGCCCTGTGCTTTGCTGGCTCTGAGCAGCTCTGGAACCTTGCCCATCCTCCTGTGAACGATGAGATGCCTGGTCAACCCAGAACGCCAGTTCCTTCCCAGTCTCTTCTTTCTCAGGGCATGACTGCACGAGAAGCCTCTTTTCTATATCGCTAGCAAATACGGGTGTGATTTTTTTTTTCCTGGCCAACTGACACCGTGGACCAAACTGCAGTTCTTAGCCAAAGGAGAGCAAGGAGTTCCTACTGGAAGACAATCACGGACCTTACATAGAAATAGAGTGAAATCAAGGGAGGATTATCTGATTGCTGTATAATGGCAAAGAATGTAGAATAATTGTTGAGATAAAATGTATTAGTAAGAAATATTTTTAATTCTTATTAAAAAAAAATCTAAATTTTCTAGCTGAGACGTTCTACCCAATGTGTATTCCTGAAGGGCTCCCATTGACAAGGTGGTTTCATGTTCTTTTTATAGCGAATGGCTTCATTGTTCCAGACTTACATGAGCTAAAAACGACTCCGCAGATTTTGATGAGGCTTCCTGAAAGGCACCTGTTGGCTTAGGTGTTGATGAGAACAGGAAGCCTAAAATAGACCATGTGAAGGAGAGCAAACTGGGGTTTGGCGGGAAGTTGCTTGTTTGCACTAGCTCCATTTCGGGGGGATGTGTGCCATAGTGGGGCACATGGGAAATCGGCAGCTCAGTGTAGGGAGACAGCATTGTTAAAATTCAGTGGTGCATGCGTTCCTGAAAAGCTGTACTCTTCTGTCCTGTTGTGGATGCTGAATTTTAAAGCTCTTTTCCAGTTCATCTTTTAGAGACTGCATTGAGCTTAATTATGCTTGTCCATCTCTCCCCTTTCTTTATTGCATTCTTACAGGGAGCACAGTGCCAGAGTCCAAACTGGTACTGCCTGCAGGTTTGACTGGCCCCAGTGGGAAGGAACTATCTGGATAAAGCCAGATACCTCACTCCTGCAAGTGCTGGGATGGTTTCACAGATGGGAGAGCTTGCTGCACTCTTTCCCAAAATAGACACAGGTTTTTCACTTTACACAATGATGCCTCAAATGACTGCCGCCTTTAGACCCTAGAGATTGCCCAGATGTGTGTGTTATATGTTACCAAAGATATGAGCATTTGTTCTTTGCAGTACTTAGGAGTCTCTCATGGAACATGACCCCATTGTGCTAGGTGTGTACACAATTTATTAGGTGTATTACAATAGTACATAAGATCCCCAGTCCTGGACCAGGACCCGATTGGCCCCTGGTCTGCCTACTGATTACCCCTGTCCTTAAGGAAGATAGTGTCCCTCTGCTGTCAGGCAGTTACCTTAGACCTTAGTCCATCCCATGCTTTGCTGCACATTGAGCTACCCACGTTTGCCATCCTTGCCTGTCAGCTGCCTTTCTCTCCACATCTTCCCATTTCATGTTGAGGTGCTGTCAGGCAGTAGAGAGAGAAAAAGGGAGGTGGCAGCCATTTTGAGGGTAGCTCATTGTGCAGTTCTCTGAAGTAAGTGTAGTTTTCCCCTCCTCTTTCCTGTCTCTGTGGTGGTGAAGAAGTGGAGCTAATAATTCCTTCTGAATGTGGTGAGACTTTGGTCACTCTGTTCTCTTGTGGGAGTGAATTCCAGTCATGGGCCATCTATGATTCTGTCAGGCTCTGTCCTCAGCACCTGTAAATCTAACCTATAAGGTTGATATTGTCCCTGAGAAGCTGAGTTATTATGGCCAATCCTAATCAGAGAGGGAGAGACTTTGAAGATTAAGGCTGGAGTTGAATTTGATTCAGTATGCAGTGGGGAATCAGTGTAATGTCCAGAGAACCCAGATGAGCTTAAATTCATAACTCTGTTAGACACTAAAAATCATGGTCTTTATACAGACACTGGGTTTATGGTTTATTAAAACAATCAGTAACTCGTTAACCCCCCTTTTTTTTTTTTGGTACTCTAGCTCAAGCGGTGTTAACAGGTCACTTCACCTTGAGTAACACATATTGTGAGACCAATTACTTATGCTAAACAATCTGTTCCACCTTGTATTTAGCTGTGACAAGTACCTTTCCCAGACCTCAAGAAGAGCTTGGTGTAGCTCCAAAGCTTGTCTCTCTCACCAAAAGAAGTTAGTCCAATAAAAAGTATTAGCTCACTCATCTTGTCTCTCCAGATCCTGAAAGGCATTTAGGTGCCTAGCTCCCAGTGGTTTCAATGGGAGTTAGGCTCCACAATGCCTTTGAGTATCTGGGCCTTATCCTCCCCCGTGCCTCAGTCCCCCACCTGTAAAATGGAGATAATAGCACTGCCCTACCACTCAGGGGCATTGTGAGAAAAAAATCATTAAAGATTTTGAGTGCTCAGACACAATAGAAATGGGGACTATATACGTACTGTATATAGACACAGTTTCTGTATCACACTCTTTGCCATAAGTTTGAGATGTCTTATAAATTAAAAAAACCCCACAAACCAACCAATGTTTTTGTTTCATTGGCCCCTAGATAGAGGGGAAATTTTCTGCCTGGTAGTGTGGTTTTTAGGGGTAGCTCAAAGCACCATATGTCACATTTTGTTTTCAAGACAGTGAGGTTTGTACTTATTCTGATGCGTTCCAGGAAGTTCTACATGCAAGAGAGAGTTCTGTAAAAGCCCTGCACCCAGTGCTTGAATCATAGAATATCAGAGTTGGAAGGGACCTCAGGAGATCATCTAGTCCAACCCCCTGCTCAAAGCAGGACCAGTCTCCAGTGTTTGCCCCAGATCCCTAAATGGCCCCCTCAAGGATTGAACTCACAACCCTGGGTTTAGCAGGCCAATGCTCAAACCACTGAGCTATCCCTCCCCCCCTTGCTTGTACTCTACATCAGAAAGGGTAAAGTTTAAGGTTGAACTTGCAACATTCGGTCTCTTTGGCCTTATGAAGTATGATACACTTTACTTAGAAATCTCGTTCAGTTTCTCAATTAATTCCACAACCTTAGGCCCATATATCTATAATAATCTGCAATCACATAAATAGAGACAGTATCATAATGCATAAGGACAAAGTTCATTTATTACAGGCAATTTGTACAGTACCTATATGCATACACTTTATGAGCAGTAACATTTCTCAAGTATAAGGAACAAGCTCCCCACAGCACCTGGTAATGCTGAAGCTTTACAAGCAGAAATGGGAAATCTTCCTCCTAGAGTTAAGACTAGGGGTACTGGAGCTACCAGTTAGTGAAAAGCCTGGGAAAAGGTGCATCTTATAGCATTTCCTGGACAGGCTTTAGTTTAGATGTATTTCCAGAAGTGAAGGCCTCATGTTGCCTCCCTCAAGCCTCATCCTTGAGACATTAGATTAATTAACAATTAATTGTTCCTGACCAACACAAATGGTGCAGTGGATCAGACTGGGAGCAGTGGTCTCTGAGATAGCTAGACAAGAGGAATTTTAAGGCTCTGGGACTGCAGTTGGTAAGCAGCACTTTAAAATTTCCTATCTTGATCAGGGTCTTCTGTGCCCTTGCTAGTAACCGGCAGCTCACTGTATGCACTGATGTGGCTCTGAGCTGAGCCCATTCATGGACTAGTCAGTGCAAATGTACCTTTGAGTGGCTTTTGCCTTTCATTTTAGTATTTAAATGGCAGGATACAACGGATGAGCAGGGGTGTAAGTATTCAGTTTAGATTGATTTCAGTAGGTTACATCTTGCTTTGGTCCTGGAATTCTGCATCAGCACATACACCCTTAGATCAGCATGTGACTTCTGACAGAGCAATCATATGGGAAGAGATTCCTGGAGAAATATTTGACACATTGAGGTTGTGCAACTCCTAATACCTAAAAGGGGGCAGTATGGCTTATCACTTAGAGAAGTGAAGTAGAATCCAGACTCTTAGTAGTCCTACTCCAGACTCAATATGAACTACTGGGAAGTTATTTAGATTCCTTGTGCCTCAATTTACCACACATAAAATGGGCATAATATGCCTATGGCTTCAGGAGCTGGGCTGTAAGGCTTTGCTAATTAGCAAAGAAAGTGCTTTGAGATGCTTGGTTGACAGGCACTGTAGACACATGAAGCATCATAAAAGTCTCTCTAAACAGCAGTTCAGATTTTGCTTCATCAGACCAAGTACTTAACCCAGTGTGACAAAGCAGCTGACACACATGGAAAGACAATTGTAGCTCTTAGAATTTCCTTATTTATTAAAGAGCAGAAAGAAATTTTTGCTTAAATTCTATACGTAAAAAAGTAACAGTAAAATTTGCTTTTAAAGTTTTTCCACTGAAGAAAATTATGAAATAAGTTTTCTTTTTTATTTAAAAAAAATTAATGGACAAAGACACCACACTATATTGCATGCTGATAGTCACCCCCTTCTCCGATAAGGTCCCACTAAAATATACTGTTGAACAGTGTATGTAAGCAAATGAACCACCTCAATCTGGACTGAAAGTCCCTTCAGCTATTTCAGCCACACAAGCTAGTGGGATCTCTCTCTACATTAGAAATTTCAGTTGTTAGGGATCCATTCACCATAGATAGTTTATTCTGTTTTCAAGGTAATTACAAAGACAAAGCATTACTCCCTGCATGCTTTCCTGGGCACAGAACCAGTAAAGTTGACTACATGATGTTTGACTGGAGAGTACTTGGAATTCACTCTCTCATAGGCAAAGACTAGTTAAGGAGCGTTACCAGTAACAAAGAATAAAAGTTATACAACGTTGATTATAATAAATTAGATTTGTTCTTATCTGCTCCTTTTGCCTTAGTCTCCTAAATATGTTCATATTCTTCCCTATAGAAAACACTTGTTTCGTATTTCTCATCACAGCAACCACCCAGTCGCTAATGGTGATTAGAATGTGTAGAAGAGACCTTGATTCTGAATACATGGATGCGCAGATGGGAAGCAATCTGATTGCACACACTGATGCAGTAGCGGAGCAAATCAAAGAGGGAAAAGATCTGCAAAGGGAAAAATGGCATGTGTTAGATCTATCTATACTCGACATGAATGTACCATGTTTCATCTATCCTTCATGTTATCACAGTCTCTCTAAAAGCATCAAGGACTGCTCTCTTGAGTCCTTCTCTCCCTCCACTAAAGGTTTATTCCTATATTCTTCATTTTTCAGCCTAGAATTTAAATCTACATTTCAATAAAAGAAAAATTGTAGTGACTGTAGAAAGCTTTTGTAAGAGGTCCCATGATTTCAAGTGTGGAATTCTGATCTTACTTTGGGACAAAATGTACACAACGTTGTATTTGAATGTATTTTAAAAGTGTTCCACTGTAATGGGAATGATCAAGTTTCAGCATCATAATTTATGCAGGTTGAACCTTTATTACATACCAAGCTCCCAACTAAAAACACACGCCCCAGTGAGGATGAAGTGAATGTACTGTAATTCCCTAATAGCTGGGCTTTTCCACCACTTGCAGCTAGTACAGAAAGAAGTTCCCAGCTGCTCACAGGATTAAGCAGCTGTAATCATGTTACACCTGCACAGCATGCTTTAGAATGGCTGTCTAGAAAGTAAAAAGAAAAGGAGTACTTGTGGCACCTTAGAGACTAACAAATGTATTTGAGCATAAGCTTTCGTGAGCCACAGCTCACTTCATCGGATGCATTCAATAGCTCACGAAGGCTTATGCTCAAATACATTTGTTAGTCTCTAAGGTGCCACAAGTCCTCCTGTTCTTTCTGCGGATACAGACTAACACGGCTGCTACTCTGAAACCTGTCTAGAAAGTGGCAGCCTGATCTGAACTTGGTTTGGTTTTCAATGCTCTAATCAAGGACAGACATGGCTATATAGCCAAGACTTCCTCTGTGAGACTGGTCCTGGCAGCTATCATTGCTCTGACACTACATGAATTTCAGGAATTCCACTGGTGGGTTTGTGTGTTATAGAGCTTTTGCTGTGGTGCACCCCAAAGTGTGGAAATTATGTTCCTGCAAAAATACATCTCAGCACATTTCTCCCCAATGGGTTCTAAACCTAGGACTTTGAGGACTTTTGCTCATTCAACATAGCTTTAAAACTGTGTTTAAACAGAGTTGGGTCCATAAGCCCAACCAAACCATGTTTCAGCCAAATTAGCCTGAACCCTAGAATCATAGAATCATAGAATATAAGGGTTGGAAGGGACCCCAGAAGGTCATCTAGTCCAACCCCCTGCTCGAAGCAGGACCAATTCCCAGTTAAATCATCCCAGCCAGGGCTTTGTCAAGCCTGACCTTAAAAACCTCTAAGGAAGGAGATTCTACCACCTCCCTAGGTAACGCATTCCAGTGTTTCACTACCCTCTTAGTGAAAAAGTTTTTCCTAATATCCAATCTAAACCTCCCCCACTGTAACTTGAGACCATTACTCCTCGTTCTGTCATCTGATACCATTGAGAACAGTCTAGAGCCATCCTCTTTGGAACCCCCTTTCAGGTAGTTGAAAACAGCTATCAAATCCCCCCTCATTCTTCTCTTCTGCAGGCTAAACAATCCCAGCTCCCTCAGCCTCTCCTCATAACTCATATGTTCCAGACCCCTAATCATTTTTGTTGCCCTTCGCTGGACTCTCTCCAATTTATCCACATCCTTCTTGAAGTGTGGGGCCCAAAACTGGACACAGTACTCCAGATGAGGCCTCACCAATGTCGAATAGAGGGGAACGATCACGTCCCTCGATCTGCTCGCTATGCCCCTACTTATACATCCCAAAATGCCATTGGCCTTCTTGGCAACAAGGGCACACTGCTGACTCATATCCAGCTTCTCGTCCACTGTCACCCCTAGGTCCTTTTCCGCAGAACTGCTGCCTAGACATTCGGTCCCTAGTCTGTAGCTGTGCATTGGGTTCTTCCGTCCTAAGTGCAGGACCCTGCACTTATCCTTATTGAACCTCATCAGATTTCTTTTGGCCCAATCCTCCAATTTGTCTAGGTCCTTCTGTATCCTATCCTGTTTAAAACTGATTCAGGCAAGAAGGTTCCCAAATCCATGCTTCTTGGTGAAAACTGGGTGTGATCTGTGCACAACTGGCACAAACTCTGTATGCGTGTGGGGAGTGTGAGCGAACAAGCAGATGCAAAAAAGATCATTGATAAACAGAAAATACAATGAGCTACTTACCATGGCAATCCAAAGTACAATATATTCATCAATAAAGCTGTTAAAGTACTGGTCCAAGAACAAAAGTGCTGGACCTATGAATGCTGTATCATGCAGATGCATTTCACTTTTGGTCATATGTGCAACCTATTAAAAAAAAAAAAAAAGAGAGAGAGACAGACACAGTAGTCTAGTCTAAACAAATCACAAAATATATTTTGACCCAATATTTTCAGCTGATTAACAACACATCCTTATAGAGTATTTTAATGAAATGTCACCAAAAATTATTGCAATGTAAATTACATGCTGCTGGTTCATTCCTTTGTGGGCTATGACAAATTCTCAAGAAAAATGTGGGTTGTAGCTACCAATTAGAACCACTACAGATTCATGGGATATACAGAAGTTGCATTAAATCACTTTAATACAGCGAAGGAAGGGTGTGGCTCATCAATTCAGGGAAACTGACGTTGTGGGGAAGGTAGACCTTTGAGAAACTATAAAGACCTTCTTATACAATAACAAAGATAAAGGAAAAGAATCAACGACTCCGAGACACTTACCACCAATTTGTTAGTTATCTTAGCAGATACAAAACCAAAAGTAAGTATATACAGGCAAGGATGCTTTTCAAAGAGCTGTACAGCAGATTTCTTGTAGATCATTGCAGCTAATATGATCACTGACCCAATATGAAGAAAGGGTGAAAGGACACTTGTTCCCTATAGTGAGGGAGAAGAAAGTGTTAGCTTAATGAAAAGTGCACACAAGTGAACAACAGATGTGTTGTGTGCATATTATTTAAATTAAATTGTGCCTGTCTGAACTCACTTGTGCCAATAGTGAAATGTGACTGAGGGTGTCAGCTGATAATGTGGTTGGAGCCTTTGGTTTGAAGGTCTCATAAATTGTGTGTTGCATGAAGAAAACATGCAGTTTCAGCTACAAAACAAAAAATGTATGTATTGGGGCAACGGGGAGGGAAGAGAGGAGAAGGCTTCAAATTGCAAAAAATGGTGCTGTGGTTATCTTCTAACTCCTGTACAACAGGAAGGAGATGACTCTGTTCTTAAATGACAGGGGCCCAAACATGTGTGTATCTGTTTAATGGTGATAATACATTTTTGTTAAGATGTCAATGCTCAAAAGCAAAATATAACTAAAAAGACTAGTCCAACTCACTCAACTGGCACAAACACAAAAACCAGACTCTCCTAAAAAGTTCACAAAACCTTCCACAACTCCTCCCACCCCCCCAAAAAAATCACAAGTCCCTTAAGAAAGAAGTCTGACAAGAATATTAACTTTTACTTTTATCCCCTCTGGAAGGTCAATAGCTTTCATATTCTTGTCAGAAGCAAAAACACCAAACAAAAAGCATGCGCATCAGAGAGGGAGTCTGGTTTGGATAATTCATGGATTCTAGAAGGTAAGACCTTGTAGAACATAAGAATAGCCACAGTGGGTCAGACCAATGGTCCATCTAGCCCAGTATCCTGTCTTCCAACAGTGGCCAATGCCAGGTGCTTCAGAGGGAATGAACAGATCAGGCAATCATCAAGTGATCCATCCCCTGTCATCCGCTCCCAGCTTCTGGCAAACACAAGCAGACAAACTCTGACCATCCTGGCCAATAGCCATTGATGGACCTATCCTCCATGAACTTATCTAGCTCTTTTTTGAGCCCTGTTATAATTTTGGCCTTCACAACATCTGCTACCACAGAGTTCCACAGGTTGACTGTGCATTGTGTGAAGAAGTACTCCTTGTGTTTGTTTTAAACTTGCTGCCTATTAATTTCATTGGGTAATTTCACTGGGTGACCCCTAGTTCTGGGGGGAGGGATAGCTCAGTGGTTTGAGCATTGGCCTGCTAAACCCAGGGTTGTGGGTTCAATCCTTGAGGGGGCCATTTGGGTCAAAAATTGGGGATTGGTCCTGCTTTGAGCAGGGGGTTGGACTAGATGACCTCCTGAGGTCCCTTCCAAACCTGATATTCTATGATTCTATGATTGTGTTATGTGAAATGGTAAATAACATTTCCTTATTCACTTTCTCCACACCAGTCATGACTTTATACACCTCTATCCTATCCCTTCGGAGTCGTCTCTTTTCCAAGATGAAAAGTCCCAGTCTTTTAAATCTCTCCTCATACAGAAGCTGTTCCATACCCCTAGTAATTTTTGTTGTCCTCCTCTGCCCCTTTTCCAATTCTAATATATCTTTTTTCAGAAGGAGCGACCAGATCTGCACACAGTATTCAAGATGTGGGCGTACCATGGATTTATATATTGAGGCATTATGACATTTTCTGTCTTATTATCAATCCCTTTCCTAATGGTTCCTCACTTTTGGTTCGCTTTTTTGATTGCCACTGCATAGTGAGTAGATATTTTCAGAGAACTATCCACAATGACCCGAAGATCTCTTTCTTGAGTGGTAATAGCTAATTTAGACCCCATCATTTTGTATATACATAGGACTAATGTCAAAGCATGGGAGGTGATTTTATCGTTCATCTATTTCAAATCCATCCTTTTAAAACCTTTTCTCAATTCCAAAAGCTACCATTTTCATTTAGACAAGATTTATCCCTTTTTTCAAGCTAGTAAACTAAGTGAAAGTGGATTTTACACCAAAAGCAGACATTACATTAACACACTTGAAAGCATATCAGTTTTCTATAAACCATCATGCAAACTACAGAGCACTCAGAAAAGGTGGTAGCATAATAGATTCATAAAAGCAAAACAAAGTACTCACAGCTATAGTTGATCCATTTTTGCCAACACCACCTGTGAAGATCACACCAAAATAGTTTGTGCAGGAGAATATGGTTCCTGCAACAGTACAAAGAGCTGGGAATATTTTCATTTGAATATTCAGCACTGGAATCTTGACAATAGAGAAATAAAAAGATTAAAATATGTACAATTAATCTAAAATCGTGTTTACCTATTTCAAGTAAACTCAAACACTCCACTTTTCTAACTCCACTTGGGTTTTCCTCTCTCCCCCCAAAATTAGTCAATATTGGTTTAAATTTCTACGAACGAAATTTGGGAGGAATTTTTCTCACCCGCCATATCAGCAAAATTCCCTGATTCATTTGCTTTTATATTTAATTACCAGAGAAGAGCAGTCATGGAGCAGAATCCCTTTCTCCTAATATTATCCTTCACAATGCTGGACACTTATCAACCAACCTCTAAAACCTGAGCCGGGGTTCCTCAGCACGGAGAGAACAGAGGCCTAGCACAGGTGAAAGGATAGACCCCACACTTAGTATCCCAGCCCTGAGTGCAGGGTGAAGCCAGATATCAGTGGGGATTAGATGTGAAGACCCATAAACTGGACCACACCCCAGAGGACAGACAAGGTGTAATGAGAGGAGGCATGATAGGGAACAGCAGAGAGGCAACCAGCCGCTAAGGTTACTTTTCAAAGTAAGACGGGAGTGGGTGGCTGGGCTGGTAGCAAGGGAGTGAGAAATGAGGGCAAGATGGGCTGGGAAGGAAGACTAATAATCCTCTCTCATCTTTTCGACATAGTGCCTTGGGCGGAGAAGTAATTATAAGAAGAGAGGGAACCACCCAGCAACAAGAGTCCAACCTTATTTATCCAACTATTAAAGAACAACTTGAACCCTCCAGTAACAAGCATCTACGCTCATACCTTTTCCAAAATGAGTAAACATGCGCCGTAGTGAACATCCCCATATGTCTATTTCATATGGGACCCTAAATGGGTTCAAGTTGTTTTTATTTTAGTATTTTGAATTGCATGCCCAGTCTGGTTTTCAGGCTTTTCTAATAGATAATTCTTAGCACTTACATCATGCTTTACAACTTCAAAGCACTGTGCAAACAACAATCCGACCATAAACACCCCCATCTTTGATACTTTATTATCCCCATTTTAGAGAGAGACAGAAAGTGACTCAGCCAAGTTCACTTTGAATGAGTGGCTGGAACTGGGATTAGAATTCAGTGGGTTCAAGCAGATTTTTTGTTGAATTACAAGGTGCAGTTACAGGTTTCAGAGTAGCAGCTGTGTTAGTCTGTATCCACAAAAAGAAAAGGAGGACTTGTGGCACCTTAGAGACTAACAAATTTATTTGAGCACAAGCTTTCGGGAGCTACAGCTCACTTCATCGGATGCATGTAGTGGAAAAAGGTGCAGTTAGAGACTAATCTGGCTCTGTAGTTCTATCCATGTGTTGCCCATATGGAGCCTACAACCAATACCAAGCGGAGGAGGAGGAGTAACAGCACCTCACCTGATTGTTGCTCTGCACTCTGGAGTTCCCCTTGCGCAGGAAGTTCTAATTATGCTCTTTTGAACAATCTCAGGTACCCCTCCTACCCAGCCTGCTTACTCTGCACTTTTGCTCAAAGACAGGATTCAGACAGTGAAACCGCAACGGAGTGAAGAGAGCTAGCTGAACTGAACAATTCAGTAACAAACACACCATTACTCTCAGAGCTGCTCCAGAGCTTGTACCGCTCTTACTAAACAGTCCGGCTGTGCTGCCATCTGTTTTGACAATGATGCTTTCTCCAGTGGTCAGTGGAAGTATTTGAGAATGGGGTGATGGGGTTGCGCTTCTTTGTATATGTGAGGAGAGAAGAGCAAGAGTAGCATTCTGCCCATGGTGGAATCTGTACAGAGGAGGTTTCAGGATGCCACAGAGAAAGGAGTTGCAACAGTCAAGAGATCTTGTACGCTGGCAAAAGAACAGGATTTATAATTCACCACTAGGGCAGCTCCAGGAACAATGTACAATACGGACAGTGGAAACTGTAACGTGGACAGGGCTCAGAGTAGGGTGAGACCACATCATGATAAAAATGTTTGATTCCACCTGAGCCATATCTATATTATGGCTCCCACCACTGCTATCACTGATGGAGCTGCACCAAGTGATTAATTACAAGGTCCTATTTTTGCCCAGCGTAAACAGACCCTACGTGATAGGAGATGAAGGCAAGGACAAAGACTTCCACAGTGGTGGAGTGAAGGAAGTTAATGTTGCAAAGCCGTGACAAAACCGATTTGCAGCTAAAGTAAATGTGGGAAGAGTCCCGAGTCAAAGATTATGCAAAGGTTAAGAACGGCGGAGACAAATGGATGGCGTGAGTCAAAGAGATAGAGTTCTGCTGGAGGATGATCCTCATACTTTATTAACACTTCTGTCTTTAGAGTGTTTAGCTAACGGAGGCTGAGATAAAGCCACAGGTTTACTTATTCTTTGGTATTCTACATAGAATTGTAGCCCATACTATAGTTTTGCCCTTTACACACAGCTTGATCTTGCCAGGTGTTGACCACTGACTTCAGTGGGAGTTAAAGGTGTGCAACACTTAGTAGGACTGAATGTATAGTGCTGAAAAGAGTCCCAGGTCAGATCTTCTTCAGATAAAGGATGCTTCTCTATTAAATCCTTTGAAGTTGATCAAGACTGGTTATGCCGCTGCAACAGCAGGATACCCAACTTCAAAAATAGAGTGCAGTCTGCTTAAAAGTAATGGTGTTTCAAGTTCTGCCACAGAGAAGTAAGCATGTCAATAAAAATAAATGTCACAATGGGTAAGTGCTCTAATCTGTTCTTGGGCAACCAGTGTTCAGATCCAGATTCCTTCGTAAGGGAAAATGAGTTTGGGACACTTATTCACACTCACAAGATGGAGGAATTTTGGAATGCAGTGACTCTGAAAGGGACTTTGGGGTTATAGTGGAAACCAACTATATTCAACTCATAGTTGAATCTGGGAGGCAGTGACCATTCAACTCATGGTCACAGCCTCCCAGATTCCCATCCACTTTTGCTTCCCCCACTAATTCTACCCGGTTTGTGAATTACATGCTGCATTCCAAAAATTCCCCCTGTAATTTCAATTTGATAAAGTATTCTTCTCTTTCTGACCTAAAATTGTTAGATATTATTGATATCTATGTCAAACAGTTCACCCAGAGGTGCAGGTTTTCATTGGTAGACAAAGTAATTTTCTATTGGTAAAAGTAAGTCTGTAAAATCATTTTGGACCATTCTACATGAATGATGGTACAGCATGCAAAAGAATGACTGTTTTTCATGTGGTGCTGGTAAAACCAGAATGCATTGCCATTTCTTAGATATGAAATTCATTCAAGTTCTTCAAGACCATAAATCTTTTAACCTTATGGGAAAATGAGATCTCTCTCTCCCAAAAGAAACTGATACTGTTCTAAATATAGTGCTCTTCCAGATGTATACCAGATTAGAAACAAGACAAGAAGCAGAATAATCAGAAATATACATTAAACTTAATATACAATATGAGCAAAATTACCATTGATTGCCAAAAAGGTGGTCCTCCAATCACCGCCAGTAAATGCATGATTATTATGAAGATTTGCACTTCAGTCACATCAATTCTGATTAGGTACAAAAAAAGCCAAAAAAGCAGAATTATTTGAAGCAATTTCAAGTTAATTATTTGCAAACTCAGCAGGTCTCCTCTATCATGCACAACAGAAAGGACTCACAATACTGGGGGAAAATTGAGAAGGCATCAATAATTTATTACGCAAATATATTTTTGAGCTTTAAGTAAAATCTATTTGATTAATTTCACTGCTTAATAAAAACCCATCTTGTCAAAAGGAATAGTTGGAACTCATTTACTTATTTAAATTGTATTTATTTCTGCAACTAGTTATGGTCAAAGGTTTAACCTTGCCCATCAAATAAATAAATAAAAATAAAGATGTGTGTGTTAATTGCGGGGGAGGGGAGGGGGGAGGCAGAATCCCCCTTTATACTCCTTCCTCTACCATCTTGTAAAATTATATTGTTCTGAACAATATATAACTTGCAGCTAAAATATACAAGCAACATAAAACCCCATGGAGCTTGTGCAAATGTAAACTGTAAACTGTATTGCTAAAGACTACAGCTCAATATGCAGCAAGAATAGGAAACCCTTTCTCGTTCTCAGTGTGGCAACTGTCCTCAGAGGAGATGCAGGAAGGAGAGCCTTATAGAAAAGGCTGCACTGAAGGAAGTTAAGAATTTGCTGTAAGGATCCTGCGTAAGTCTCACTGCTAGCAAGAGAGAAAAAACAGGGGCACAGAAATCAATGCCAGAAAATGAAATTACAGAAAAAGAACTAGGTCAAAAAATTTAGAAAGGAAATGGGGTCTTCTATGGTATATAACATGAATAAGTTTATGAGGTTTCTAAGGGAATACTGTAACTTTCATGGCATACAACATGAATTAGTACATGCTGTCTCATAAGGGAAGACTGTGCCATCAGACTACAGAGATCTGCCCAAATATTTACAATGTATCTTAGTTTGAATTGTAAAATGCCTCAAAAAGGACTCCAAGATCAGCCAATGCACAGGTGCCACTTACATTATCAATGACAGTTGTATGTGTACCAGAGAAGAGCGGACTCCATATTTTTAAACTAGCTACTGAAAATACAAAATCTGTATCTGTGGACTTCAATATATTGAATATTAGACTCCTGTGTACCACTCCCCCTACTCCCTATAGAATCTGACCTAGTTCTGCAGTAGATCCTCTTATTTGAAACAACTCCCTCCCAACCCAACCAAAATTTCTTTATCTTAGAAACAAAATGATATGAATAAGAGGTTCTTTAGTTAGGATGTGACTAGACAGTTATTTTTGATACATACATGTTTAATGACAAATGGAATGAATCAGGATGAAAAGAATCTGAACAGCTGACCTGGTGTGCGGTGTTTTCAATAAGGGGGAATTAGATTCAGAAGCAGACTCAGGAGATTAAGCAGGTGGCAAAGCTGATCCACTCAGTCTTGGATGGAGTTGGGTGCACATCATACAGCTTTTTTTGCTTGATATATGAAGTAGCCTTTTGGAAGGGGAAGGGCCAGAAGTATAGAATTACAAAATAAAAATGGAGGGGAACTAAGTGCAACGTCACCTACACAATACAAGGTTGTTAAGTAAACAGTGTATTTAATACAGCGAACAAGCAATCTCCTCTAATCCTCACCACAAATGCCAAAAAGGCATTCAATAGGCTCTCATGTTGTCCTATTTTAAAATTTAGAAATACACAGAACTGCTAAAACATATAAGACTAGGCTCATACTTAGACCTTCCCTGATAATATGGGAAAGCGATAGGGTGAATTTACTTACCAGTAGTTGTGTATTTAATGTAGTCATCTCTCACCTTATGATATAAAACCCCTAACTCTGAGCTGTTGGTTCCAGCTACCAGGAAGCAGAATGCAAAAACACTAATGTCTCTACAGTATAGGTCCATTTCTTTCCCAACAGTCAAGAGACTTCCCGAACAACTTCCTAGGATGTGAAGTGAAGCTGGCAGAAAGGAAGACGAGAAGACTCCAACAAGTATAATTCCCTTTACTCTGTAATAGGTCTTTCCATTACATCTATTATGCCAGTGTGAGAGTAGTAACCATGTGGGTCATCTTATAGGCTGACTTCAACATGATTACTCCTATTGGGCAATCAGAGGCAGTTTGCAGAAAGAGATTGTCAACCTCTTTTGCTAATCAGCTGAAGATCTGAAACCTCAGCCCTCATCCAAACAGATGAAGCATCTAACAGGTTTTAGAAAAATCTTGCACAGCTGCAAACATTTGGGCTGTGCAAGAACAGTGAGCTGCCGCATGCCTGAACATATTTCTATATTAACTGCCCAAGCCAAGAAAATGCTTAGGAGCGGCTTCCTCTCAATCAAGATGCTCATTTGACTAGATGAATGGGAAGGATTTGGAAATCATCATCTCCTGGGCGTGTTTCTAGTGGGGTTTTGCAGGGATCTGTTGTTGGTCTAATGCTATTCAATATCTTTATCAATGATCTGAAAGAAAGTATAAAATCATAGTTGATAAAGTTGCAGATGAAACAAAAATTAATGGAGTGGTAAATAATTCTAAGGACAGGTTCAGTTCTAGACAGCGATATAGACTGCCTGGTAAACTGGGATCATCTGAACTATTTTAATACCGCCAAATGCAAGGTCATACATCTAGAAACAAAGAATGTAGATCACACTCACAAGATGGAGGAATTTTGGAATGCAGTGACTCTGAAAGGGACTTTGGGGTTATAGTGGAAACCAACTAAATATAATCTCTCAATTCAATGTAGTGGCTAAGAGAGCTAACTCAATCCTCAGCTACATAAGCAGGCAAATTTAGAGTAGGAGTAGGAGGCGACATTCGTGAGACCACTACTGAAATACTATGTCCAGTTTTGGTGTCCACCCTTCAAAAAGAAAGTTGAAAATCTGGAAAGTGTTCAAAGAAGAGCTACAAGAATGATTCAAGGTCCGGAAAACCTGCCTTATAGCAAGAGACTTAAGAAGCGCAATCTATGTAATTTATCAAAAAGAAAGTTAAGAAGTGACTTGACTAGTATCATAAGTTCCTACATGGAGAGGAGATTTTTCTGATAGTAGGTGGCTCATTAATCTAGAAGACAAAGTTATATGGAGTGTGTGTGTGTGTGGGGGGGGGGGTGCAGGAGTTCCCGTTTGGTGCTCAGGGTGGGGGTGGGAATGTGGGGGGTTCAAGAGTCAGGGCATGGCAGGCATGGGGGTGTGTGAGGAGGGTGCAGCAGGCTGGGGGGTGCAGGGGTCAGGGCAGAGGGCTGGGTGTGTGTGTGTGGGGGGGTGCAGGGGTCAGGGCAGAGGGCTGGGTGTGTGGGCTAGGGTCATGGGGGTGCTGGAGGGGATATGCCCTGATTCTACCCCCCTTTCCCAAGACCCCGTGCCCACCTCTTCTGTGCCTCCTCCCTGGAGCAGTGAGCGAGCTGCAGCTCAGCTTCTCCCCCTCCCTCGAAAGGGCCATCAGCTGATGGGCAGCAGGGAGGGAGAGGAGGAGGGGCAGAAACCCAGCACGCTGGGGGAAGAGGCGGGGGGAGCTTCTCTGCCCTGCAGCAATTGTGGGCAGGACCAAGCTTCTTCACCCTACCCCTGCGGGGGGCAGGGCGGAGAAGAGCGGGCCGGGGCAGACAGGATTTTTAATGGCACACTGCTGCCTGCCAGGGTCCCGGCCTGGGTTCAGCAGCAGGCTGAGCAAGGCCAGTGGCTGGGACCCGGCAGGCAGCAGCGTGCCATTAAAAATATCGGCTCACGTGCCGTCTTTGGCATGCGTGCCATAGGTTGCCGACCCCTGTTCTAAAAGATATGCTCTAGTTCAATCAGAAACTATAGGGTTAATACAGGAATTATTGCATGAAATTCTAAGGCCTGTTACGCAGAAAGTGAGACTACATGACCATAATGGTCCCTTCTGACCTCAAAAACATATGAACATAGGGATCTACCTAACAAACATTCATGAAGCTAGGACAACATAGGAGAACAACACTTGGGAAATGGGAACAGAAGGTGGGTGATGGGAAGAAGAAACACTGTATTCCTTCATTCATCTAGCTGGAGGACAAATTCAGAATGCTTGAATATGGGATCTCCTTCCAAAAGTACCTGAGCACTAATGAGATGAGCAGGAGTCAATCTATTTCACACAGCAGGGGAGTAGAGGCATGAATGGGAAGAAGTGAAGGCTCTTGAATTCTTATACAACCTTAAGTGAGTCATTACCAGTGTTTATTATAATTCTGAAGTAGCTGAATTGCTAAACTGCTTTTTAAAGTTTGTCCTTAAGAAAAATAAAGAAACAATGATTGGTTAATTAGGAAATACCATAATGAAGACCTTGTAAATTTAGGTGTTGATAAAAAGTAGATAAAGGATTACTAGGAAAACTTGAACATATGTCAGCTGCCCAGATAGTGTTATATTGATCCTATCGGGTTAAAGAGTAATCAAAGTTTGTAAAGCACTTTCAAGATAAAAAGTTCCAATTATTATTAAGGAGCAATAAACTTCCTTGAACCACAGAATTATTTTTGAAAATCTGGGAGAAATGGGCATATAACCAGTAGACTGGAGCAAGAAAAACATGGAGGGGACAGAAGCCTGATTGACCAGTTTAAATCTAGTTTGATTAAAGCACTAAAAAGCTGTACTGTTAAGAACAATACTGCACTGGCCTCTGGGGAAGATGGACTATATTCATGATTCTTAAGCTGTTTTTACAAACACTTCACTGGGAGTTACCAATATTTCTATAAAAAGAAAAGGAGTACTTGTGGCACTTAGAGACTAACCAATTTATTTGAGCATAAATTGGTTAGTCTTTAAGGTGCCACAAGTACTCCTTTTCTTTTTGTGAATACAGACTAACATGGCTGTTTCTCTGAAACCTGTCAATATTTCTATGCAATATAAGCTTTAATTTTAAATATATATATTTTTGGCCTGTCTTCCAAATGTAAGCTGTTTTTTAGTAATTAGATTAATGAACTATAAATTACATTGGGTAATATGCAATTCATGGC